CCAGACGTGGTGCGGGGCCAGGACGGTGCGGTAGGCGTCGCCGCACTGCTCGCCGGCGTCCGGGCCTCCGAACTTCCCGGTCGCCACCCGGTGGAGGCAGAGCTGGGACCAGCGTAGCGCCCGGTGCAGCAGGAGCAGGGTTCGCGAGCCCGAGTCTCCGGGGGCGATCCCGGGCCGCCCCAGCAGCCCCGCCCGCCGCTCCCACGCCGCCATGGCCACCAGCGATCTGTAGTGCGCGGCATCTGGGCCGTGCACCCGAGCCTCGAGGGCTGTCACTTTGGAGAAAGCCTCGTTTGTGGCGAAGGTGAAGATGGAGCCGAAGGGAGTTAGGAACCTGTGTGTTTGGGGGTGGGAAGAGTGGGCCGGCTAGAGAGAGGGCGACGGAGCCGCTGAGGCGGGGACAGGGTTAGGGGAGGGAGACCACTCACTTGATTAGCTCCCTCCATCCCGCCAGGTACTGCGACAGCTCCACGTCCCCTTCGGGGTTCAGACAGGCGCGGAACGGCCTCATCAAGCGGCCCAGCATCCCCCGGGGGCCCAGACACTGAGGCTCGTCCCGCTCCGGGGCCTCCAGGGATCCCGAATGCCGCTGGACCTGGGGGTGTAAATACGGGGGCGGGGGGAGGCGGGAGCGGAACCCCGAGCCTGTTGGGCCTCCTTCGCCAAGCAGCCCAGTCGGGCTCTGAAATTATTCCTAAGGTCTAGCTGCTGTCCCTCCTGCTGTACTCTCCGCTTCTGTCAGGAGAGGGGGTACAGGAAGGAGGACCCGCCCTTCCACAGAGAGCCAGCCGGACTCCACGCCCCCTGGTCAGGGGCCTGCGTGGAGCTCCCGGCCCCCGCCCCGCCCCAGCCTACCTGCAAAGGCGGCGGTGCCTCGGTGATGCAGGGCTGCGCCCCGGGCGCGCAGTCCGAGAGGGTGCCTGCGGAGAGGCCGGGCGGAGCGGTGAGGGCTCCAGGAGGGGGCGTAGGTCCCAAGGACCTGGATTCCCGGGTTCCCCCCGAGGAGGTGGGGGAGGAGGCCACTCACCTAGGCTCCGAGTACTGAGATAAAAAAGTAGCAGCGCGAAGATGGTGAGAAGAATCGTGAGGCGGAACCAGCGCCGGGAGACCTGTGGAAGCAGCGCGACCCCCATGGCAGCTGCCGGGACCCCCCCACCGGCCAGCTCCTACCCAGTCCCCGTCCCTCCACCTTCGCCTCCGCCTCCAAGAAGTAAGAGAAGCCCGCGGTGCACCGAGGTGTAAGGGTTAATAATTAATCTAAGGCCCCTTACCCCCTGCCCTTTGCCCCAGAGGGCAGCATCTCAGGGGTGAGAAACCAGATTAAGAGGATTTGGATAGTTTGGCGACAATGACACATCTCTGTATGTCCCTTCCCTATAGGGTCAGGTTGTAGGAAAGGCAGCCCTGGGTATTGGGAAGGGAAGCTGGGGACAGAACCAGCTCCCCCACTGAGCAATGTTGTGGGCCCTGAGTTAACTCTGGGCTTGAGCTCCTTCCACTGTAAATTGAGGATAGTAAGTACTCTGCGAGGATTAAATGATAATGTATGTGTAAACACTCCAAATGGAAAAGCTTACCACAATTGCTCCATAAATCTTACCTATAAAGTTCAAGCATGAGGTACCTGGGATCCAGGAACACCCACTTCTAAATTCTCTAACCTATCCCCATGGGACCTTGTTTTGGTCTAGATGCATGACTTCTTGATTATATACTTTAGGCTTTATCCACAACCCCCTCACCAGCTCCTACTCCTTGTCCCAACTCCAGGTTGGCTCCTCTATTATTTATCAGACTAACCTTTATTAACTACTTCCACATGCCAGGCCCTGATTAGACCTCAAGAAGACAAAAGTGCCTTCATAGAGCTGAAGGTCACTGGAAAGTTTATAATTTGTTTCACCCTCTGGGATGTGAGCTCTGATGACAGGGGTCTTGTTTTTCTTGGTTGCAGCTCTATTTACAGAACTTAGAATATTGCCTAGGCCAAAATACATTATTGCTAAATATGTATATGTTGAATAAACAAAGAAATGTGTATCAGGGGCAGGGAAGTCAAGGGTGGTGCTCTCCATGACACATTTGAGCCAGTTTTTTGTCTGTTTGGTTTTGGTTTTTGCAAATTAGGAGGTCACCTAGTGGCCATGGAGGGGGGCGGGCATTCCGGGAAAGGATACAGGATGTAATCAAAGAAACAATACCTCTTGTTCATAGTTCCCGGTTCATAAACTTCTTAGAATTGTTCCTGTCTCTGTGTACATTTTCTTGGGGTGAGGGAGAGTATCCCAGATTCTCAAGGAGTCAGGACCCCAGTCGCTAAGAAGACCCTTCCTAGCTCTCACAGTTCATGGATTCTTGCCCTGTCTCTCACTCCGATGCTCCCTCACATCTTGGAGGTCCCTGAGTTTGCTCCTGACCAATCCTGTCCCATGAGATTCTGGAGCCTTCGCCTCCACTCCTGGACTTGGGCTCCCCATTTCCCAGTGTTGGAATGTTTCCCACCTTGCTGACTGAGAATTTAGGCAAATTGTTTGCCATTTCTAAGCCGCGGTTCCCTAATCTGCACATAGGAAGGCTAATCCCCACCCCCTAAAATTGCGAGGATTAAATAGAACACACCTGCAAATCGCTAACCACAATTTGTGGCCTATAGTAAAAGTTCAGTAGGTGGTGATTTCAACTTGTCAGCTCCTGATGTCCTCTTCCTCTCGTGCTGGGAGCATAGGTCTCCCTGAGCAGAAAATCGGGTCTGCGGGGTTCCCGGAACCAATTAGTCTTTGCTGTCACTTAATCCTTGTGGCGCTTCCGCAATCGGAGCCCACATAGGGGCAGAGGTCGTATAAACCTGCTTAAGGGGCCCCGACCCACACAGGCTGCAGGATGGAGCGGAGCTCGGGAGCCAAGCTGCTGCTGCTGTGGGCCCTGTGCTGCCGACATGCCCCAGCAGCTGGCTTCAGCGGCTACACCAGAGTCATCGAGGTGACCAACGGGGGCCCCTGGGGCGACTGGGCCTGGTCCGAGATGTGTCCGGTTGGATTTTTCACCACTGGGTTCTCCATCAAGGTGAGGGCTCAGACCTAGGTTTCCAAGAGGGCGGAGATGCTTGAGACCCCAGAAAAGAATGTGTCCTCTGCTTCTTTTTCATTCTTAAAGGAATGATTTCATATTTTTAAATGTGCTTATTAAAAATATACAGTTCTACATGCTAGAGGCTTTAACCTCCCAATTTTATTCTTAAGACACCAACTAATTCCAGAAATAAAAATGACAAAGAATGCATTCGATGTTTATTTAATGTATTATTATTTTTAAATTCTCACCTGAGGATATTTTTCCCATTGATTTTTTAGGGAGAGTGGGAGGAAGGAGGGGAGGGAGGGGAGGCAGGGAGAGCGATGTTAGAGAGACACATCGATTGGGTGTCTCCCGCTGGAGCCCCTGCTGGGGATCGAACCTGCAACCGGGGTACATGCCCCTGACCAGGAACTGAACCCCCGACCCTTCTATCCGTGGGCCGAGGCTCTAACCGCAGAGGCAAACCGGCCAGAGCCAACGTTTATTTATAAAAATACTACTACTAATAACCTAGAGAATGGCAGGCTGACTCGGCTTTGCTCTTGTCGCGACCCAGGTGGAGCCCCCGCAAGGCATCCCCGGAGACGACACGGCCCTGAACGGGATCCGGCTGCACTGCTCCGGCGGGGGTTCGGGGCGCAGCACGGTCGCGGTGGAGTCGCAGTTTGGAAGGTGAGGGGCAGGGGCGGGTGATCCCCTAGGGTGAGGGGGTGCCTCCCACCCAGTTCAAACTCCTCCGGGCCGGCGGGCCGTTAGGCCCGGGAGGGAGGCGGTAGACCTGCGCCCCGCACCTCCCTGGAGGTCCAGTGGTTAGACCCGACCCACGGCGGTCGGGCCGCACCGGGCTGGGTCAGGCTGGAGGCGGGTGGGGGCGCCCTCGAGCCCGCGAGCCTCCCCTTCCCNGCGAGTGGAGCGAGCCGCAGTGGTGTCCCGGTGGCGGCTTCCTCGTGGCCTTCTCGCTTCGCGTGGAGGCACCCACGACCCTTGGGGACAACACGGCTGCGAACAACGTGCGTTTCCGCTGCTCCGATGGCACGGAGCTGGAGGGGCCCGGCCTGGCCTGGGGAGACTTTGGAAACTGGAGTGAGCCCTGTCCTAAAGGCATATGCGGCTTGCAGATCAAGATCGAGCCGCCTAGAGGCCTCCTCGATGACACGTCGGTGAACGACGTGCGTTTCTTCTGCTGCTTCAGTTGAAGCCTCTGTGACCCTCTCCCTGTCCCGCCTGCGGCTTGTCCCACCTCCCGCCATTAAAGCTTCCCCGCCTCGGCTTTGGTCTCACTCGTTTTAAGGGTAGGAAACTGAGTCTCCTTGTCTTCCTTCTAACGTAGCACTGGTCTCAGGAGTCCATGGGAGGCTCCTGAAAGTTAGGGACGCAAACATAGTCTGGAAAAACACATTCAAACACAATTTCACATACACGTTAAGGAAGTCCCTGGCTTTCTGAGGGCGTCTGCAGACTCATTAAAAGCCCAGGTTGTTTCTTTTCGAGCCACCAGTTACCACCAGATTAAGAAACTTCTACCAAATTAGGAGGTGACGTTACACCTTCAAGCTTCATTTTCTAGGGCATAATTGGTTAATGTGGCTTTTCCATAGTTGCCTCCCCCCCAACTACAAAACTCCTTTCTATGTACTAATTCCCATTTAGGATCTTCGTCCTTGAAGTTCTCTCTTCCCGGAATCACCATGCTATGCAGATGGATAGCCCATCAGCAGATTCCCGCTCCAATTTCACTTCCTCAGACTTCATCTTATTTTAAAAAGACCCTCCATCAGTCAATATCCCATTATCAGCGTGTGTGTGTGTGTTTTTTTTAATCTTCACCTGAGGATATGTTTTACTGATTTTAGAGAGAGGGGAAGAGAGAGAGAGAGAGAGAGAGAGAGAGAGAGATCTACCAGTTGGTTGTCTGCCTCTGGTACTCGCCCCCAATGAGGACCGAACCGGAAACCTAGGTAGGTGCTCTGACCGAGAATCCAACCCGGGACCTTATGGTGCGTAGGAAGGTGTGCCAACCAACTGACCCACACCATCCGGGCCTCAACATGTTTTTAAAAAGTGCGTATCACCAGTTGATCTCTTTTAAAGACTGCCCATCTACCCCCCCTGGAATGTTAAATTATCTGAGAGCACAGGACTTGCCTGTCTTGTTAACTAAGGTGTTCCCAGGGCACACTAATAGCTCAGTAACTATTTGCTGCCCTGGCCAGTGTGGCTCGCTTGGTTGGAGCATCGTCCTGTACACCAAAAGGTGACGATTTGACTCCCGGTTGGAGTGCATATCCAGGTTGCAGGTGGATCCCTGGTTGGGGCTCATGGGAGAGGCAACTAGTCAATGTCTCTCTCTCGCCAGTGTTTCTTTTTTTTTCTTTTCTCTCTCTCCAATCAGTTTTTAAAAGATAAATAAAATTAAGCTCATGCTTTAAAAAAATAACTATTTGCCAAAAAAATAAGCAGGGTACAGGGGTTCCACACAGGAAAGCCCCAAGCCCCAGCGTATCTGGAGGCCTTCGGACACCCCTGGCATGGGGCACAATCTGAGGAGACATGCAGGAGAGCTCAAAGCAGTTTATTCCAGGGCCGGGGCAGGCGCGTGGGCATCCAGCAGCGAGCAGGCAGGCGGCGGAGCTTCAGCGAGGGGCGCCCTGCGCAAAACAGAAGGTGAGAGCGCAGCCGGGGAGCGAGCAGGTTCCCTCTAAAGCTCCCGGGCACGCCGCCCCACCTTCTTCCTGCAGTCGCCGCAGACGACGCCAAAGGTGGCGTTCACCACCTGCACCCCACACAGCAGGAGCTCCAGGCACGAGGCGGCCACCAGCAGCGAGAAGAGCGTCACATTCCAGCAGACCACCTTAGGCGGGCTGTCGCACAAGCTCCAGAGGGTATGGTTGAGCAGGTAAGAGCCTCTGTGAGCCGGACAAGGTCACGAGAGAGACAGAGGTCACCGCGGAGAGCCCCGCTCCGGGTCCCCGTGCCGAGCGCACGCCCACGGGGATTCGCAAAGGGCTCGTTTGGCCCACGTGGAGGCAGCTCTCCTGGAGGCGAGGCCTGCCCGAGGCTCCCGGGTCCACGTGGGGAGAGGGGCGCGGGCTGGGGTGGGGAGGGGCGCAGGATGGGACGGGAAGGGGCGCCAACAGGCTAAGCCTTACGAGGTCTCTTGGAAGTGGTAGCCCCACGAGTCGTCCATGAGGCATTTGGGTCCAATTCGGAGCCCGGTTCCCGATACTGAGAGACAGTAGAGGGCACCAAGGACCCCTAACGCCGAGGAGAAGACCGAGCGCAGCATCTGCACGCGGAGTGGAAGGAGAGGTGGCGGGGCCGCCCTTTCCCACGTCGCGAGCCGGCCGCGCCTGGCTCCGCCCCCGCCCCTACCTTACCGCGCTCTTCCCGAGTCCCGATAAAAATACACTTTCCGTCGAGCCCGCTGCTTGAAGCTAGGCTAACCCTAAGAGCCGGCGGCTGCGGGGGCTCATGGGGGTTGTAATCCCCTCTGGTCAGGCCCACTGAGGCCTAAGATTGGTGGAGCGGGGGTGGGGGTAGAGGTGATCCTGGGACTCCGCAGAGGTGCTTCTGTCGCTAGGAGGAGGGGCTGTGGCTTTAGGTGGGCTCTCCTTAGACCTGCTCAAAGACCGGCCCTGAATCACGTCTTAATTTGGACCTTACCCTGCAGCGATTTCCACAGCAGCCTGCCCCGCAGCAGCCCTTGCCCCCTGCCCGAACGGCTGCAATTCCCGGACACAGTACCTAGGGAACAAGAGTCAGTGCCACAGCGAGTCCCTCCAGATCCTAAGACCTTGCATCAGCGCTTACCTCCTCCCCGGACCTGCCTGGGAGGTCCTCAGCCCTTTGGACTGTAGGAAGACCTTATCTGTACTTCTCCTGGAGCACTTTCAGGCTCCATCTTAATTTATCAATATTTATGTGCCTACTTATCTCGGTCCAGATTGTAGCCTCCAGGAAGATAGGGCTTAGTATCATATTCCCAATAGATGTTGGCACATGTCCGGTGCCCAACCGAATGGGACTCAGGAGGCCTGGGTTTAATGCCAACCCCTGTGCACTGCGCACCCCATGAACGGATTCATCTCTCAGAATCTCAGTTTTGTCCTCTGTAAAATGGGTTTGCAGGACCTACCTCACAGGGCTGATCTCATGATTTGATGAAATAACAGGTTAACTTGATGTCAAGACTAGCTCAGAGTAAATGCTCAATAACTATACATTCCCTCAACAGCAGGAGACCTTCTTGTCTCCATCAGTGGAGATATCCTCCAGGTCACCCAGGCTGGAAACTTGAATCCTTTACACCCAGCCAGACCTCAAGTCCTCGCAACTTTTCCTTCAGTGGCTCTTGAATCTGTCCCTTCATTTTCCTCACAGTCAATCCTCATCACCTCCCATGAGGATGAGGTTTTCAACCTCCCTACTTGATTTCTGTATCTCCTGCCCCAGGCCACCCCACACTCCCTTCTACATGTCACCACCCAGATTAATCTTAATTTTCACTAGTCTTTTGTATGCTCACATCCTTAGTGTCTCCTCAAAGAGTAGCCCATCAAAACTCAATGCTGGCAAGGCATTCCAGACTCCTCACTTTGGCTCCGGCCTTATCTTGTCACACCATGCCAAGTTCTTTGAACGTCTCTCATCTCTGGAATTCCACAGCTGCCTTGATCTTTGCTTACCAGTGAAACTTATCTGGCCCACATCACACAAAGCAGCATTTTGTTCTTCCCTAGGGGAGGGGCTAAGAGTTTTAATTCTGTTATATCACCCACAGCAAACTCACAGAAGCACCTGCAGAGTTGACCCGGCTTTTCACCAGACACTCTCCCTTCCCCCATGTTTCATGGCAGGTCTAGGGCCAGTTTTTTAGACTTTTGTTGTTGTTTTAATCTTCACCCAAGGATATTGTTTCCAGAGACAGAAAGAGAAAGAAACATCAATGTGAGAGAGACATTAAAATTCATTGCCTCCCGCACATCGATTGGTTGCCTCCCTGCACGGTCCAACCAGGGCGGGGATGGAACCTGCAACCCAGGTACTTGCCCTTGACCAGGAATTGAGCCTGCTACCCTTTGGTGTGAGGGCCGATGCTCTAACCACTGAGCCATGCCAGCCAGGGCTCTAGGGCCAGTTTTGACCCTCTGGCTTAGCTCTCAGATTAAGTCACTTACTGGGAAGCTCCTGGATCCAAAGACATCTAGAACTGCCTTTTTGATTTACCAATTTTGAATAACCTACCTATCTGAGATTTTTACTTTTTCAGTCAAAGTGTTTCTTTTTGTTATCTGAGCTTCTCTGTCTCACTCTCTGTCTACTCATCTTAATGAAAAGTGATGGGTAATTGTAAACGTAGGAGGAAACACTGAGTTTACAGCTCAAATCTGCTTACTTTTCTCCATCTCTGTGGCCACTGCCTACTTCAAGCTACTATCATCTCTCCTGGACAACTGCAGTTTCTTTCATCTGGTCTTTCTGCATCCACTGTTGACCTCCTACTATCCATTCTCTGCCTAGCTGCCAGAGGGATCTTCCTTTTTTTTTTAAAGAATAATTTATTGATTTTTTTTTTTTTTTTTTTTTTTTGGAGAGAGGAAAGGAAAGGGAGGAAGAGAGAGAGAGAGGGAGAGAAACATCAATGTGAGAGTGCAACACCAATTGGCTGTCTCCTGCATGCCCTCTACAGGGGATCGAGCCTGAAACCTGGGCATGTGCCCTTGATGGGAAATTGAACCTGCAGCCTCCTGGTGCACTGGATGACGCCCAACCAACTGAGCTACACTGGCCAGGGCCACAAGGATCTTCTTAAGTACAATAGGGTATCGAGCAACCAGAGCTCTAATACTTTGCTAATAGAAATGGATTTGGTTTAAGAGCTTCAGAAAACTCTTTGGTAGTATCTAGTAGCATTGAATATTTGCACACCTTAAGAACAAGCAGTTTTACTCCTAGGTATACATTTAACAGAAATGCAAGCATTTATTTACCTAAAGACATTTGCAGGTATCTTTATGGCAGCATTATTTGTAATAAATCCAAGTGGGAACTATCCAAATGTTCATCAACAGTAGAATGTTTAAATAAATTGTGGTATATTCACACAATGGAGTACTTAAGAAATAATAAACTACAAATACATGTAATAATATGGATGAACCTCACAAACATAATGTTGAGCTCAAGAAGCCAGACACAAAAATGTCCATACTGTATGAGTCCATTTATATAAAGTGCCATACAGGCAAAACTAATCTATGGGGTAGAAGCCAGGATAGTTGGGACTCTCGTCAGTGGCAGGTAGTGCCTGGTGGGAGGCACACCTGGGATTTTGGTAATGACCTGTTTTTTGATCTGAGTGCAGAGTATGTGGGTGTGTTCATTTTGTAAAAATTCACTGAGCTCTACACTAAGGATCTGGGCATTTGTCTGTATGACTTAATAGTTCAAAAACAAGCTTAAAAAGTTCAAAAAAGTAACAAGTCCTTCAAAAGTTCCCTGTTGTACTTATAATAAAATTCAGATATTTCCTGTGACTTTCAAGAGCATACAAGCTCTAACCTCTGCCTACCCAAGATCTCATCTCATTAAACCTCAGCTGCACTGGCCACCTATCCAGTCCTCAGATATGTGAGCCCATTCCTGCCTCAGGCTTTGTACTGGTCAGTCACCCTGTCTGCAATCCTGTTTCTTTTTGGGGTGGTGGTGGTCTTAGTTCAGACATCACCTCATTGATGCCTTCCTTGAAAACACTATAAGAAGTGGCCTCCAATCTTGCCCTAGGAGCTCTCTATTGACAGGACCCTGCTTTGTTTTCTTGATAATACCTATTCCTATCTGAAATCATCTTGCTCATTTATTTACTTTGTTCGAGTGCCTCTTAAGTGCCTAGCACTGGCCTAGGCACCTGGCACACAGAACTCAGGGTAATGTAATATACCTAATGTGATGAGGCTTATATTCTTGCTTCTGTGATACTGTGTGTCTCCCTAGTGGGAACACCAGCTTCAGGGAGAGCAGGGACCTTGCCTGTGTCCTCATGGCACAGCACAGACCAGGTAAACAGATTTGAAAAAGCCTTCTCAAGAGTGGCTCAGGGCATGGAGGTGGGAGTAAGACAGCTGGGAATGAGCATGTCGAGAGGGAGTCCTCAGGGATCTCCCCTGAAGCAGGCTGGTTAGGTTGTGGGGAGGTTGGGGTGGTTTAAGCTGAGTGAGTGTGTAGGTCTGGGAGGAGTGTGACACCTCAGGGAGAGTTGAGGTCAGAGGGATGGAGTAGAGTCCAACAGCCATGAATCCATGTGGGAGGGGGAGTGGGAGAAAAGACCCCAGAGGTTTAGAGGAGATTGTTGGATAAAGGAGACAAGACAGACCTATGAAAGGGATAAAGGGGAGACCTCTCCCAGAGAATTTTATCAGTCAACTATCCTGAGAAGTGTGGAACAGTGCTGGGTAGATCTCTTGTCTGCATCCTATGAAGATGTTCAGCTAGCTTGATCTTCCAAAGTTCCTCTAAATGGAGAGGCAGTTGGAGAATGAGAGTTTGAAAGTCCAGGGAATCTGTGTCTCCCAGTCTCCTACTTTTCCTGACAGATTCTAGTCTCCAGGAAGACATGGGGGCACCTTCTCCATCACCCTGACCTAGGTTTGAGTTTATCCTTAGCTCCGAGCACAGAGGGGGCATCCAGAAATGTGGGCTGAGAGTGAAGAGACTTGGAGGTCGGGGAGGGTGACAGCAAGCTGAGAGGTAGAATGCTGATCTGTGACATTGCACCCTGGCTCCAGACACTGGGAAAGCAGCACCCTCCCCATGCCCACTATTATCTTGCCCTGATAATCTCCCACACAACCAGCTGCTCCTTTTGCCTCAACCTTTGTAGTGAGGTGTTCCCAGCATCTGCTCAGCGGTGGAGGTGGGGAGGGGCAGGTAGGACAAACTCCCTCCCCAGAAGGGGAGCTGCTTAGAGCAGTGAGGCTCCCTTCCTTGTTGTTCCCCTCAGACATTCAGCTCAGGACCCTGGGGCCCCTCCACCACCTCTATACACAGTGCTCAGTGTTTGGGAGCAGATTCAGAGTGCTCCAGGTTTCCACCACACCAATGCCATCCCTTCCCAGGCAGCCATCCTGTTCCCTCTCTCCCTCTTCCTCCTGTTCAGAGCCCCCTAGGGTGGCCCCCAGCCCCCAGTCCTGTGCGCCCTCAATAGCCGCCTCACCATCAGGCCCCCGCCGATGAAGCCGCCCATTAACCAGACTTGCAAGCTGAGTTGCCCGGTCCAAGTGGTTTCCCCATTAGGCACCAGCAGGAGGGCGTTGGCCACGATGCAGACCAGCGAGAGGGCGATGAGGGAGAGCCCCACGAAGCGGGCACACTCTCCTGTGCACATGGTGAGGTGGTTGGAAAGGACAGGCGGCGAGTGAAAGTGAGCCCGGAGGCCCGGTGGACAGGAAAACAAGCCTGGAGCAAGGAGCAAAGGTCGAGGAAGAGGTGTGGCAGAAACTAGACAGGGAAGATCGTGATAAGGGAGAGAAGCAGGAGTCAGAGGCAAAGAGGAGGCGGAGGTGGAGGGGAGGTGGAGGGGCTGCTGTTTTGAGGTGAAGGGGAAGCTTGACGCAGAGGAAGTGGCCTGGGGTCAGCGCGTTCTTCCTCTTTTTTCTGTACACACCTCTTCTGGGCCCCTCTGCTGTGACTTAGTCAAGCCCCTTAATTTCTCTAAGTCTCAGTTGCCTTTTCTGTATCAAGGGTATAGTGGGACACGGCTCGTGGGCTGGTTGTAAGGGTTAAATGAGACAACGTGAGAAGTACTTTGCAAAATAGAACGTACCAAGCAGCTGTATGGTGGCCCCATCATTTCTATTAGTCCCTCAGGGAGATTTCCTTCTGGAAAGAAACTAAGAAGATGGTAGTGGACACTCGCTGTTCTTTCATTTCTTCTCCATATTTGTTTATGAAACCCTCCTGTTGAAGCCACCCCCCGTCTCTCGGCATGGGCTCCCCATTAAAGCCTGAGTATTAGAGCATTTCAGCCCCAGCCTCAGTGCTTGACTTAGCCATGGCCACGGGACTCAAGCCAGTCCCCTGAGAATCACTTTCTGTTTTCTGTTGTTGGCGATCTGAGGTCAAAGAAGTTCTGTTTTTGTTGGGATGCTGACGTGGCTGGTGGTATACTGCCTGTTGGAGAATGAAGTCAGTCCAGATGAAAGGACTTTCAGAGGCTGGGAAGACATTAGGTCTTGATGACACTAGGTCATTTGAACGTGCAGGTTGAGCTATGTCTGAAGCCCAGTCATCCCTTGGAAAGCTCTGATTATGTGCACCACTTGGAGCTGTGTTTCTGTCAACTACGTAGAGTCTGTTTTGATACAGAGATGAATTCATTAAGCCCTTGCTGTGGACAGGGCCTTGTTCTGGAGACTGCAGGGATTCAGAGTCGTATGCATGAGATTCAGATATGGGCCTTGGGAGCAAAAAAGGAGAGTGAAGGCCCGAGCAGGATGTGGTAGAGACGTGGAAGAGACCAGGGTGGCAGGAAGTGCTGCAGGACTTCAGAAGGTACGCGAGGAGAATGTCACGCGGAAAGTGGTATCCAGCCGGTGGCCTCTGCTGTAGCTTGTCCCAGCCGCCCACTCAAACCGCTTAAAAGATATAAAAAAATGGGGAAAGCTCACTTCTCAAAATGAATGCCAGAATCTTAGAGGAATTTTTACTATTTATGAGACAGAGGAGCTACTATTTATGAATCAGAGGATACCTAAAAAAAGAAAATACTTTGAACCTCTCCCAACTGTCTGCCTCGGATTCAGACAGTTACTGTGATAACTGATATTTTGTTTTGCTTTTGTTGTATTGTTTAATGTTTAAAAATTTTTCTACGCTGCTTTCGGATGTCCCTTTTCATTAAATTTTTTGCCTCTTATCATGAGTTGTTATCTTATTTATTTATTTTTTACACTCTTGTGTTTTAGATGGCATATTTTAAATTCTGGTAGTGGTTACCTGTAAGTGTTGCAAAAGCATCCTTTAACTTGTTACCCTGCCTCTCTCTGAGAAGCCTCAGACTGTTCTTATCCCTATAACCTCCTGTGAGTGGGTCTATACAGATGGTTTTTCATGCTAGTTAGCTTTATAGCTATGGCTATATGTGATCCTGTGGTAGAAATTGAACTATTTGCTCCAGTTCTTCTATCCTCCATGCTCTTTGCTGTGACATTTGATTGTCCCTCCCACTAGAGAGAGACTATACCTCCTGCCATATGGACACGATGAAATGTGGGCAAAAGTGACAATATCCTAGTTCTGAGCTTAGGCCTTAAGCAGCATTGTGTGTTGCTACTGGACATCTTGTGCCCCATCACTGCCACGGGAAGAACATGCCCAAGTTAACCCACCGGTAGAAAGAAGGTGTAAGATACAAGGAATAGGCCCAGATCAGATCCCAGCCTATGTCAGCTGACCTCCAACCAACCCGTACATGTATGAGTGAAATAAATGCTCATATTTGTATGTCACTAAGACTTTGTGGGGGTTTTTGTTCCATCACAATAGCTGACTGACACAGACCCCGTTGTCTAGGCTACAGATGGTTGTTCCAGGAAGCAGTAGCTAACCCACAGCCAGAGACCTATGAGGTAGCTCGAGGCAAGAGCTCTGCCCAGAACTCATCATTAAGAGTTACCCCACTTAATGATGACTGATCAGCAAATGTGATCTTTATTCTTGGGAAACTTGACTGTGAGACAGCCTGAGAGAGTTATCAAAGGGAAGAGTGACCACAGCCTGAGAGAAATATGAAAGCAGGGAGTGGGCAAAAGTCAAGAGGCAATTAAAACCATGAATAAACAGAAGGCACAAGGAAGGGAGCTGTGTAGAGAGCAGTGAAACTGTGCAGGAGGAAGAAGCACAAGAGCTGAGGAGCACAAGTGGAGAATTTGGATGCTGGGTGAGGCGGATGACCAGGTTCTGCTGAGTCAGCAGAAGTAACATTGAACCTGGAGAAGGGATTCAGACATCGTTCCGAGTGGGGCCAAGAGCAAGCCACACAATTGTCCACAAGTTCATCGATCTTGAGTCTGAGAGACTGTACTGCTTTTCAAGATAAGTAAGGAGAAAAAAAAGTTGTATGTGTGGGGTGAGCCACAGGGATTCATGATATTACATTTTTTACAGTTCTCTATGCATGAAATAATGTTAATAATGTTATAAACATAATAGGGATTCTAAAAAACTTCTGAAAACAAGCTGAAGGGACACACCATCCTGAAGACTGAAAGAAAGAAAAGAGCTCAACAAATATTTACTGTAGGATTATGAAGGGAGTTTTCAGGAAGGTTTTCATAGAACTCTCCTGGAAGTAGGAGCAGAGTACTTTTTAAAAAAATGTTTTTATTGATTCAAGAGAGAGAGGAAGGGATAGAGAAATAGCCTCCCTTATTGGGGATCAAGCCCAAAACCCAGGCCCCGGCCAGGAACTGAACCAGCCACCTTTTGGTTTATGGGTTGATGCTCAAACACTGAGCCAGGCTGGCCAAGCAGGAACAGAGTGCTTTTAAGAAAGAAAAGGCTGCCCTGGCTGGCGTGCTCAGTGGTTAGAGCATCGGCCCTTTCACCAAACGGTGGTGGGTTCGATTCCCGGTCAAGGACATATACCTTGGTTGCAGGTTTGATCCCTGGCCCGGTCAGGGCGTGTGCAGGAGGCAACCAATTGATGTGTCTCTTTCACATCGATGTTTCTCTCTCTCTCTCCACCTCGCTCCCTTCCACTCTCTCTAAAAAAAAAAATCAATGGAAAAAATATCCTTGGGTGAGGATTAACAACAACAAAAAACAATAAAAGGGACCAAGAGAAGGTCAGTATGATTAGGATGGGGGAGAGGGATCCAAGATGAGGACAGAAGGGTAGGCAGGAGTTTAGAAGACTTTGGGGGGTTTTAAGCAAAGGAGTGACATAATTTTATTTATCTTTTAAAAGACTGTTTTGGGCCTGGATGGCGTAGCTCAGCAGTTGTGCATCGACCTGTGGTCCAGGAGATCACGGTTCGATTCCCAGTCAGGGCACATGCCTGGATTGAGGGCTCGATTCCCAGCAGGGGGCGTGCAGGAGGCAGCTGATCAATGACTCTCATCATTGATGTTTCTCTCTCTCTCCCTCCCTCTTTCTGAAATCAATAAAGATGTATTTTTAAAAAAAGAAAAGAAAAAAGAAAAAAAGAGATTGTTTTAGTGGTGTCCAGGGAATGAACTGTAGAGGGGAAGGGTGGAAGCAGGGACACCAGGTGCTGGGGGCTATCACAGTGGTACAGGTGAGAAATGATGTAGGTGTGGAGCACGGGGATGGGTATGGAGGGCAGTGGGTTACTGATGGATTGNGTATTTTAAAAAAAAGAAAAGAAAAAAGAAAAAAAGAGATTGTTTTAGTGGTGTCCAGGGAATGAACTGTAGAGGGGAAGGGTGGAAGCAGGGACACCAGGTGCTGGGGGCTATCACAGTGGTACAGGTGAGAAATGATGTAGGTGTGGAGCACGGGGATGGGTATGGAGGGCAGTGGGTTACTGATGGATTGAGTGTGGAGGTAATGGAAAGAAAGAAGGAAACCGAAGATGGTTTCTAAACCTCTAGCTGGGGCAAACGAATGAATAGTGGTTTTGTCTCCTTAATTGGGGATGTCAAAATCATGGAAGTGAAAGGTATGAAGGGAGATCTGGGAATAAGAGTGATGCTTTTCAGAGGACCCAATTGAGGATGTTTTATAGTGTAATCTGGGGTGGAGGTTGAATGCTCTCTTAGCATGGTAAGGCCAGAGTTATCAGCTCCTGAGAAGTAAGGTCCAAAGGAGGACCAGATGGAGTCTTTAGAAGGGAGATAATCCTCAGATGGTGAAGAGTGTTTGAATTCAGATCTTTCAGTAGAAAGCTTGTGAATAGAGCCCCTCTCCTCTTCCCTCTCACTTCTGAGACACCTGGAGACCATAGGACCGGAGCTCACTGTCAGTTCACCTTCCACTATGTTTGTGGTGACTGGACACTGAGATACCAGGGGGAGAAATGCATCTGACTGCAATATTTGCAAGGCCCAAGAAAGTATTCTTTCCATAGGCAGGAAGGGATTGTGTTTCCTGAGCAAAGGGCACCAACTCAGCGGAAATTAGGAGAGAATTGTAGAAAGAGGCGGGGTATTAGGAATGAGGAGCCATCTGTGAGTATGGGCAAGGAACGAAGTTGCTAGGGTAGGAGCTCCATGCCCAGTGTCTCTCTCCTCATTACCCCCAGGAGGAGATATCTAAACATTGCAGTCAAGACTCCTTAACTCCTGCCCTAGCCTGTGTGACTCGGTTGGAGGTTGTCCCATGCACTGAAGGGTTGCCTGTTTGATTCCTGGTCAGGGGACATG